CCATGTTCCAGATTCAGGTGCTATTTATAAACTCCACCATTTCTGACAACATAAGCTAACAGGCTAACATCTTCTGATGAGTGTGTGTGTGTGTGTGTACCTTGTTCAGCCACTCCACTCTTTCTACATCTGGATAATGGACCTGGAACAAACGGAGGAGATCGTTAGCCTCATCCATTCTCCTGCCATTAGACACAAAACACATCCACACCACAAACAGCGCCATCGTCTGGTTGTTAAATGAACTGCTGCAGTGCCTTGATGATCAGTTCAGAGTCGGGGCTAAACGTGGTTAGCAAGAATATAGGAGAGGATTCTGGGGGAAAAGATGTCAAGCTGGAAAAAAACCCTGAGAGTTTGAAGCAGGTTTGGGGCCAACGTTTTGACCCTCGGGCCACAATTGTCCTCAGATGTAAGATGGGGGCGGGGTCAAGGGCAGATAGAGGGAGCGTTCGTGTGAACCAAGTTGAATGACATGTAAAAGTCAAGCAGAAAGGCTAAAATGCTACTGTCATTTTCTACGCCATCTATCGGGGAAATGTGGGTATTGCATTTTTTTTTTCTACACCCTAAACAGGAACACATGATGAGGTCATTAGGTCGGACTTTGGCTCCACTGGTGGACAGTGGGGGTCAGTGTGACAGAGGGGACGGGGACCAGGAGTTTGACCACTGACTGTCTTAATCATGAGGACAGGACGATGAAGGGAAATCCTTTCATCCATTGTCACTTTGATCAGTTTCACAGCCACACCTTCACTGGTGCTCACCTTCATCAGACCCCCCCAGCTCAGACCTTGATCGGGGAGGGGAGCGGGGGGGGGGCAACTCACCCTAGATGAACACTCACCCATGGCGGCAGCTCAGTGGTAGGCACGGCCTGCCTGGCTGCTCTCTCTTGGTGGTCCAGGTAGGCCAGGACGCGGTTGACTCTGTAGTCCTTGCTGCCGTGGTTCCTCCTCCAGTAGAAGAGCGTGGCCAGTCCAACCAGGACCCAGCTGAAGCTGAACTCAAAGTAGCCCAGGATGTAGATGGGCAGGATGATCGCGAAGGTCTTGGCAAACTTAATCCACATTTGTGTGACATCTGTCAGCGAGGACTGCTGTTCCTCCTCCAAGTCCTGAGGAGACAGCGGTGGCGCCGTGGAGTAGCCTGATGGGCTGATCGGTGCCCCCACGGGCCCGTTCCCCCGCTCGTCCGGTCTGCCAGATCTGTCCATTCTGTCACTCATTTGTTCTCTGGAACAATGACGTTAACAGCCAACGTTAGCACATGGACGCGGTCCAAATCAACCACCGAGACTGACCAAACCCAACAGGCTAACGATGGTCTGGAGTAAGGTTTTAAAGTAAGGTTTTTTTAAGGATTGAAACAAATGTAGACTGAGGTAGAATTTGGCCTGGCTAGATGACACAAATACAGCTTAACCCCCACATTAGCTACAAACAATCAAATGATTAAAAGTCAGTCAAAAAAAAAAAAGAACTGAACAAGACAAAGTAGAGACTAGCCATAATGCTAGTCAGAGTAAACACGTTAGCAAGAAATGGCCCTGAAACGAGGGCAGCCTCCAAACACAGCTCGAGGTTATCCACAAAAGAAAGAACAAAAAAAAAGTAAACCAAATATGTGGTAACACTAGTTAACAGATCAGAAAACTTAACACAGGTGAATTAAAGTGTAATGTTTGAACTATGTAGAGGTTATTTATCCGACAATTCTTTACCGTCTAAAAAAACTTTAATAACGTCACGATGTATGTTGCTTTTCGGCACAGACGTAAAAGAGTTAACTGTTAAATATGTTGTTGTCGAAACAGATCGAAAGGTTGAGCTCGTTCGATTCCAAACACACCAGGGGCTGAGCTGTCATTCCAATGTTTGGGCAGGACACATTACCTAACCCCCTTGCGGGAATGTGCAATTGAATGTGTATTTTACTACAAAAAGGTGAACGCAACATTTTTGAGAGTTTACGCATTTAATGCACTCTTTAGGCCCTTTTTCTAAATTCGGCATTAATATAATCCCACCTGCACGCATTTAAATAACGGTAATTAACCTAGAAACCTCCGGTCATCGCTGGCTGCTCCCGCTCATGTCACAGCAACAGCGAATGGCAACAAGTGAACTACTGTTGTTAAAAAGTCGAATTTAATAGAAACCTGCGGTTTATGGCCTCGTTAGATCCAAGCCGAATTCAACTACACAGTCTATTTGATACGACGATGGTTGTGTAATTCTAGTTACACAGTCAGAAAAGTAATATTTGGTCATGAAGGTGTAGAATTGAAGAGTTTTCGAACGAAATCAGTCGTGACGTTCTCTCCAAAGTGACACGTAGAGGGGCTTCACCAGCAGCAGTGACGGCGGCAGCTCACAACAATCCGCGGGTACAAAACAACTTCTTCCCCTGTTTATTTTTAGGTTTAGTAAGCTGAACAAACTCACCGCCTCCTGCCCGCGACATTCGCCCTTCCGCAGGAAAAAAAAACCCCGTCAGATTCTCTCAGTCAGCCGAGAGCAAGACATACTGAGCAGCTACAGTGGAGCGATAGGCTGCGCTCCTCCTCCGCAGAACATCCTGCCGTGAGGGCGGACTGAGCGGCTCCAGCAGCCCGCAGCAGGAAGCTGTCATCGCGGTGAGAAACAAGGTCAGCCTCCGGCAACAGGGAGGGAGCTTCAAAACACTGCGGACAGCGCGGGGCCGAACGCCACCTGGTGTCTGAAAAGTACAATTTCCATTGGCATAGTTTTACAAAACTGCGAGACACGTGTATTTTCTTTGAATATATTTTATACATGAGGTTGAGCTGAGGTTTTACCACAGCCTGATAAACAGAAAACAGCCATAACCTGCAGCAAAACTACAGTTAAAAAAAAAGAAGTTAATTCTTAACCACGTGGTCTAACAAGTTCACCAAACATTTCCAAAATGCTGACATCAACAAATGCTAAATAAATAAACATAACAAAGTTCACAAAAATTGAATTTAGAATTAGCCAATAAGATGGCTCCAAAAATATCTATCAAACAAGATAAAAAATTAGCCAAGAAGCTAACAAGTGGACCCAAAACGTGTATCAAATGGTTAAACTTTCAGATAAGTGAACACACGTGACTGTAGCTGAGCGTAAAACACACGTGAAAGACGTTACATGACGCAGGTAATAACAAAGACAAACAGAGCATCAAAAGTTTTACCTTAAAAATGTAATAAAACGTGCACCAGTGGCGAAACTGACTGAATGAGATGAGTAAAAAGGTGTGAGGTAAACTGTGATATCACAACGTCTCCACTAGAGGGGAGGAGAAGGCTTTGAACCGATGCGTCTCACACCGGAAATAAACAAATCAATAAAATAAAACATAATGAAAGTCAAAAAGATCGTCTTTCTTTGTGAAAATGCAACGCCAGTGGTTGTTTATGCAGTTCACACAGACAGTGAACTCAGCATAAAAATCTGAAGGAGTGAAAGTTTTTCTCCTCGACCTGTCTCTTCACTGTTCATCAGGATGCTGCGGGGATAAAATACTTTTATTTTGAAGGTCAAAAAGGAAGTCTTTGCTTATGTTTGTTTCTGTTACCTTGATTGTTAAAACCCCAACTGCTGGGATCCAAATGAGCGGGAACACTCGTACACCGCTGACAGAAAACAGATAAGAGCAGGAAACAATCTGGATATTTAATATTTTTAAGCATAGATTTTATTATTATTTATATTATATTATTATTACCCATTTTTAGCTACTTTATTATTTTTGCCGCCGTCATGGACTGTGCTGAAATGAGTCGATAAAGAGAAAAACAGCAGTGAAGAAAACATTTCTTCTTCTTCTGTTAGAGAAGATCGGGAGTAAAAGATGAGACGTTTACTCCTGGTCTCAACACTGCTCTTCTCCCTTCTCGTCCGGGTAAGTTTTTTTTTTTAAGTTATTTTAACTTTTTTAACGAATTTGTCGTTTTTATATTGTGTTTTTGTAGCAAATTCGTTCAAAGCTAGCACAGACTGAACTTTAGCTCATATTTTAGCACATTTTGGCTCATAAATAAAGATGTTTTGGCCACAACTTTAGTTACTTTTCTAAATGTTGAAAACTATAGCCCTAGTGGCTATTTTTTACCTAATGTTTATATCTGTGGTTTCTATATTTTAACTGACCTTTTAGCTGTTTGAGGCTAGTGTCTTTGTTTATCGCGCTGATATTTCTCAGCTGTTGTTGTGCTAACTTGGCGGTTTATTGCTGTGTGCCTAACTTGTGGCTGATTGGTCAACTCGTTTTTTTTCTACGTGTTTATAAAGAATGAGGGATTTTTAAGCTAGCATTCACATTTCAGAAACGGAAATTCTTAAAAGAAAAGTGACTGTTCTTCACAGCAGGGCTGGGAAGATAAATCAAAAGTCAACAATTTGATAAAACATGAACACATTTAGCCAAACACGAGTTAAACCAAATTATTAGAAAATTAATAAAGTTGTATGGATCTAAAATGATGAAGTCTGCCCTGGTAATGATTCAGAGAACCATCCTCCAGGTCTCACGTTCCTCACTGATGATGTTCTCTTTTCCAGCCTGGTTTTGTTTTCTGTAGCCATTCACAGCTCACTAAAAATATGAAGATGTGTGGAGTCGGTGTCTGATCTCTAATCTGGTTTTAATCCCCCTCTCGGCGTTTGGATTAACAGTTCTACACTGGAACTCTTTTTCCCCAGCTCCTTTGTTTCTGCTTTATTTTTGGTCCAAATCTCACAAGAAGAAAATGCTCAGAGGAAGTGTCCATGGAAAGACAAAACAGCCAACTCCAGAACACCCCCCCCCCCCCCCCCCCAGTGATAACTGACATAAAGAAGCTCAGAGGGAACCACAGTGTTCCTCCTGTGTGTGGGTTCTACTGCCCACTGTCGACGGCTCCTCTGTGAAATCTTAGCCGTGGGTGAAAAAGACACGTCAGTTCAACATCAGACTCTCACTGAGCCTCTTATCAACAGTCAAGTATTCAGTACTCACTGTAAAAAACAAACAAACAAACAAAAAACACGTAGATACACTTCCCCTCCATGCCACTAGTCAACGCTGTTGGCAAGGTGTCGGTCACCATCTGGTCTCATCAGTCAAGTTTGTGATGTGATTCCTGTTCTGAGATTGAATTTTAAAATATGACACCTGGGGTGAACCGGTGATGGAGTGATGAAGGACGAGGGGACGGCACAGGTGAAGATGAGCCGACTCTGGCCGACTGAACGGACTCTGAAACCACAGGTTTTAAGAATGAAAAATTGACCTTTGGTAATTGATTAATCACAGGGATACTGTGGATTATCACCTTAATTTATCATTTATCATGACTAAATTCTAAAATATGGCAACGCTGTGAGGTGCCAGGGTGGGCGTGAGGGGCTTCCAGTGGAATACGGCACACTGGACATAATGAATGAGAACGAGGGGAGGGCGGGGGGAGGAGGGGGATGACAGAAAATATTTAAGAACCACTGGACTAATCCAAGTGATGGGATTATTAATTTGGAAAAAAAACATTCAAAAGTCCCAATGAAAATGTATCTTCATTCTTATTCCAGTGTCAGTCCAATTATCACTGTTGTCCATCAACCTGTGGTTCCAGGACCTCAGAGAGACCACATCTTCAATTCAATAATAATCTGTTTGTCTACAAACCCAAAATATTTCAAGTCAGAGGAACCAGAAAAACTCAAACTACATTTGAGAAGATACTTTTTCAACGACTGACATTGAAGAGTGAGTTTGAATGAAGAGAAAACCCCCCACATGTATTGACTTGATCTCCATCTTTATTGTTCAGTGATTTCATGAAGACATTGACTTTGTTTCACGTCCATCTGACGTGAGGAAAAGAAAAAGAACCAATCAGCTCCTGACTGAAGATCATCACCATCATTACAGTTGAACCAAAGAAGAAAACTGTTGACACTGATGTAGAAAAACTGGACACAGCTTCTATGCTGATGATAGAGTTGTGTTTTTTAAAACCTCACTGATGAAGGAAGTTCTGCTGATTTCTCTGTTGAAGCTTCAGCTGCAGGAAAAGAAGGAAATGAACAAACACCAAACTCTGTTCAGGTTTTCATGTGGACAAAAGTCAGTTCAGGTGAAGAAACAAATGACCAGGAGCAGCCAGATCCTCCACCACTGCAGCTCCACCTCCACAAAGTCAACACATCAGGACTACAGGAAAGGAGCACACCTCAAAGAGCCCGCCCACCATCTTTGTTTTGATTGACAGCTGATGACAGCAATGAGAAAGTTCAAAGATTTAAAGCTGAAAAAACTCAAGTCTATCTGAGTTTACAGAACTCTGCTGTGTCCTATTGCTCCTCCTCCTATTGCTCCTCCTCCTATTGCTCCTCCTCCTATTGCTCCTCCTCCTATTGCTCCTCCTCCTATTGCTCCTCCTCCTATTGCTCCTCCTCCTATTGCTCCTCCTCCTATTGCTCCTCCTCCTATTGCTCCTCCTCCTATTGCTCCTCCTCCTATTGCTCCTCCTCCTATTGCTCCTCCTCCTATTGCTCCTCCTCCTATTGCTCCTCCTCCTATTGCTCCTCCTCCTATTGCTCCTCCTCCTATTGCTCCTCCTCCTATTGCTCCTCCTCCTATTGCTCCTCCTCCTATTGCTCCTCCTCCTATTGCTCCTCCTCCTATTGCTCCTCCTCCTATTGCTCCTCCTCCTATTGCTCCTCCTCCTATTGCTCCTCCTCCTATTGCTCCTCCTCCTATTGCTCCTCCTCCTATTGCTCCTCCTCCTATTGCTCCTCCTCCTATTGCTCCTCCTCCTATTGCTCCTCCTCCTATTGCTCCTCCTCCTATTGCTCCTCCTCCTATTGCTCCTCCTCCTATTGCTCCTCCTCCTATTGCTCCTCCTCCTATTGCTCCTCCTCCTATTGCTCCTCCTCCTATTGCTCCTCCTCCTATTGCTCCTCCTCCTATTGCTCCTCCTCCTATTGCTCCTCCTCCTATTGCTCCTCCTCCTATTGCTCCTCCTCCTATTGCTCCTCCTCCTATTGCTCCTCCTCCTATTGCTCCTCCTCCTATTGCTCCTCCTCCTATTGCTCCTCCTCCTATTGCTCCTCCTCCTATTGCTCCTCCTCCTATTGCTCCTCCTCCTATTGCTCCTCCTCCTATTGCTCCTCCTCCTATTGCTCCTCCTCCTATTGCTCCTCCTCCTATTGCTCCTCCTCCTATTGCTCCTCCTCCTATTGCTCCTCCTCCTATTGCTCCTCCTCCTATTGCTCCTCCTCCTATTGCTCCTCCTCCTATTGCTCCTCCTCCTATTGCTCCTCCTCCTATTGCTCCTCCTCCTATTGCTCCTCCTCCTATTGCTCCTCCTCCTATTGCTCCTCCTCCTATTGCTCCTCCTCCTATTGCTCCTCCTCCTATTGCTCCTCCTCCTATTGCTCCTCCTCCTATTGCTCCTCCTCCTATTGCTCCTCCTCCTATTGCTCCTCCTCCTATTGCTCCTCCTCCTATTGCTCCTCCTCCTATTGCTCCTCCTCCTATTGCTCCTCCTCCTATTGCTCCTCCTCCTATTGCTCCTCCTCCTATTGCTCCTCCTCCTATTGCTCCTCCTCCTATTGCTCCTCCTCCTATTGCTCCTCCTCCTATTGCTCCTCCTCCTATTGCTCCTCCTCCTATTGCTCCTCCTCCTATTGCTCCTCCTCCTATTGCTCCTCCTCCTATTGCTCCTCCTCCTATTGCTCCTCCTCCTATTGCTCCTCCTCCTATTGCTCCTCCTCCTATTGCTCCTCCTCCTATTGCTCCTCCTCCTATTGCTCCTCCTCCTATTGCTCCTCCTCCTATTGCTCCTCCTCCTATTGCTCCTCCTCCTATTGCTCCTCCTCCTATTGCTCCTCCTCCTATTGCTCCTCCTCCTATTGCTCCTCCTCCTATTGCTCCTCCTCCTATTGCTCCTCCTCCTATTGCTCCTCCTCCTATTGCTCCTCCTCCTATTGCTCCTCCTCCTATTGCTCCTCCTCCTATTGCTCCTCCTCCTATTGCTCCTCCTCCTATTGCTCCTCCTCCTATTGCTCCTCCTCCTATTGCTCCTCCTCCTATTGCTCCTCCTCCCCTCATACTGCAGACCAGGAAGTATGAGGTCAGACTGGAGCTGACTGTGTTCTATCACAGTAGGAGGAGGAAGAGGAGGAGGAGTCGGTTCTGTCTCCTCATTTAACATTCGTTTCACTTCCACCACTGTTTTCAGTAACGTTAAAGTCCAGGCTGTGGTGAAGGAGGACGATGGTTACTGCACTTATCTGTTACTAGTTACTGCTGGACTATGAGACTAGTTAATACAAAACAACTAAAAACATATTCAAACGTTGTTAAATAAAAGTCAAGATAAACAAGTAGCTGTTGAAAAACAGCCAAACGCTCAGTCTTATAAAGTGAAAAAACAAACGTGCAGCCAAAAAAGAAAGTCTAAAATATCTGTAACATTAAAATGGTTCTGGGCCGCGGCGGGTCAGAAAAGTGACTGGATCGGGAGGCGAGTCCTGGGTTGAGGAGAATTTGACAGTGGTTGTCAGCGCACCTGTGGTCTGGTCATTAATGAGAGGAGAACGACTGGACCAGGTTTCAGAAACATGTCCTTTGAACTAAGTTCTAAGACTGATTGAAGCTCTGTCTTTAAACTCAACTTCAGAAGATCTTTTTCCCTAATGAAGAGTCATCCTGGGACACAGTGTCTCTAAAACCTAGTGGTAAATGCTTGAATTCCAGGTTTTTAAAATGTCATTCCAGCAGAGGGTGCTACACGTGCAGCGTGGCTGGTGAGTTCTACTTTTCCAAAAAAAAAACAAAAACAAATCCACAATGTGGTTGTTTGTTTCCTTTTCTATTGATGGGCCAAGTGTAGCGCCCCCTAAACTGCAGTAGTCATTTGCGGAAGCTCAACTTTAGTCAATGACTGCAGAGGTTTGAACTTTGACCTGAGGGCAGGACAGAAGACGCTGAGACAGCACTGCTGCCTCAGAGCAGCAGTGCTGTCTCAGAGCAGCAGTCTTCACTGGTTGATCGGTTCTACAACAGCCCTCGAAGGTGAACACGTCCAGCCTCTTCATTGTACTCTACACACAGAGTATTAGCTCAGAGTGGACGTGGACATTCACACTGCCATTCACACTGCCATTCACACTACCATTCACACTGCCATTCACACTACCATTCACACTGCCATTCACACTACCATTCACACTGCCATTCACACTACCATTCACACTGCCATTCACACTACCATTCACACTGCCATTCACACTACCATTCACACTGCCATTCACACTACCATTCACACT